ATGTTTTTACGGCTCGTTTTGCCGATTGTCATTTTGATGAAACAATTTTTCTAACATTAGGGGAGAAAATAAACAGAATAAGCGAGTTAGAAATGTTGAAAAAAGAAATTATATGGAATACTTCATCTTTATATCATCTTGATCGCCGTACAAAACAATGTGAACTTGAAGTTCGGAGGATAATTCATTTACAAAGTCTTGCAAACCAACCGCCGGATGCATTCTCCGATCTAAAGAGAGTAACTAAATCACATGTTCCTGCTGAGAATGCTCCTATTAAAATTGATGTCCCAGTAGGACAACCTATTAATGTTATAACAAATGAATCTAAAACACGCCCGAAGCGTGAAAGATCGATCGGTTCTAAAGATAAAAATCCCCGAAAGAAAAAAAGAAAAAATAATCAAGATAAAAATATAAAGGAGACGAGATAAAACGATCCAAGATGTTTTTGATAACAAGCTTCCGAAGAAGCCCAAATGCTTGAGAAAAATCAAGAAATTTCGATAAATTATATTAACACATGGAGAGTATGGGATCGAAAAGAAACATTCATTGATAACATCTTTGCATATAATGTGACAATTAATATCTTGAATAAGGATCCCGAGCCTAAATCCATTGAAGAATATCGACATAGAGATGATTGGCCTAAGTGGAAAGATGCAATTTAGGAAGAATTAAAGTCTTTCACAAAACGAGCAGCTTTTGGACCCATAGTTAAAACATCCGAAGATGTTAAGCCAATAGGATACAAATGGGTATTTGTGCGAAAACGAAATGAAAAAGATGAAATTGTGAGATATAAAGCAAGACTTGTAGCGCAAGGGTTTTCACAAAGACTCGGCATTGACTATGAAGAGACATATTCTCCTGTAATTGATGCAATTACATTTCGCTATCTTTTTAGCTTGACGAGCATGTGAAAAAATTCATATGCACTTAATGGATGTAATAACGACCTATTTATATGGGTCATTTAATAATGATATCTATATGAAAGTCCCGAGAGGACTTAAAATGCACGAAGCATGTAAAATACATTCTCGAGAGATGTATTCGATTAAATTACAAAGATCTCTATATGGATTGAAACAATTTGAACGCATGTGGTATAATCGTCTTAGTAATTATTTATTAAAATAAGGTTATAAAAATAACCCAATTTGTCCATGTGTCTTTATAAAGAAATTCGAAAATGGGTTTGTGATAATTGTTGTATATGTTGACGATTTAAATATAATTGAAACTCCCGAAGAGATTTTAAGTGCCATAAATTATTTAAAAGGAGAATTTGATATGAAAGATCTTGGAAAAACAAAATTTTATCTCGGCTCGTAGTTCGAACACTTAAAAGATGGAATTTTTATTCATCGGTCAACATATATAGAAAAAATACTACAAAGATTCTACATGGATAAGGCTCATCCATTGACTAGCCCAATGGTAGTTCGTTCACTTAATGTTCAAAAGGACCCTTTTCGACCTCGAGAAGATAACGAAGAACTTCTTGGTCCCGAAATACCATACCTTAGTGCAATTGGTGCATTAATGTATCTTGCTAATAATACCCGACTCGATATAGCATTTTACGTAAATTTATTAGCAAGATATAGTTCTGCTCCAACACGGAGACATTGGAATGGAATTAAACATATATTATGTTATCTCCGAGGAACAAGTGATATGGGCTTATATTACACTAACAAATCAAAGAATAGATTAATTGGTTATGCGGATGCGGGTTATTTATCCGATCCACACAAAGCTCGATCTCAAACTGGTTATGTATTTACATATGGAGATACAACTATATCATGGCGTTTTATGAAGCAAACTATAGCTGCCACATCTTCAAACCATGCGGAAATACCAACAATTCATGAGGCAAGTCGAGAATGTATTTGGTTAAGATCAATGACCCATCATATTCAAGAGACATGTAGTTTATCCACTAGCAAGGAAGTTCTAACGAGTCTTGTATGAAGACAATACTGCTTGCATAGCTCAATTAAAGGAAGGATACATCAAAGGTGACGAACGAAACATATATCACTAAAATTATTTTTCACACATTATCTTTAACGAAATGGTGATATTAATGTTTAACAAATTCGTTCAAGTGACAATCCAGCTAGATTTGTTCACTAAGGCATTACCTACCACAACTTTTGAGAATATGATTCACAAGATTGGAATGCATCGTCTTAGAGATCTTAAATAATGTCTTCAACGAGGGAGACCAAAATAGGCATTAATGTGTGCAAGGAATAATGTACTATTTTTCTTTCACTAGGATTTTTTTTTCCACTGAGTTTTTTCCTAGTAAGGTTTTAACGAGGCATATTCCTTGTATAATGGACATTCGAGGGAGTGTTATAAAATAATGAATGTCTATATGAATGTCCATCTACTTTTCATATCCCCACTGCTCATGATCATTAATGTGATTCAATTCACCATTCAATTTGAGAAATTGAAAGGGTGATGCAATTGATGTACTTTTAATTATTCATAGTCCATTCCAATTCTCATATCAATTTTGAGACTTATAAATAGGCTTGATTGTTCATTTGTTGATGTACAAGTTTTTAGAGAGATTAAGAGAACAACTTGAAGTTTTCTCACTTGTATTCACTTTATAGTGAATTCTTTTTCTTGCCATCCTTCTTTTAAATTCTCATATGTCTTTTATTTTTCACAACATTTTAAAGTTTATTGGACTTTTTTAGGCTACAGAATCATTAAAAGATTTGTATATGCGTCCGATTTGTATTTTTTTGGTCAAGTTTAGAATTATATGTGATGTGCAATTGGGCAATCTATATGCGTCCAATTTGACTGGCAGATTTGTATACCAATTTTTGCACCTCAAAAATCACTTAATTTCTTATTCTTCTTCCAAATTTAAATTCCTGATTTGACCCTTATCCGATAGTATTTTAACATTTGAAAAAAAAAAAAAAAAAAAAAAAAACAAAAAGTTTGTCCTGACCCAGAAAAGAAGTCATTGGCCTCGAAAGTGGATACTGAGGAAAACATGCCAACCAGTCGAAAATTAAACTCGTGGGCTTGTGGCTGCCATGAAACAATAGATAATCTGCAAGTTGCATTTAAAAAACAGATTTCTCTACGTTTGAATTCTCTGCTCTCAATTTTCTTTATTAAAATTCTCTGTTTTTTTAAATTTAATTGAAACATTTTATTCTTCAGAATATAAAATTATCAATCAAAGATTGATATATAATATTATAAAATAATAAATTTCAATTATATATTGATCATTAATTAATAATTTTATAATAAAGAGTCTAAAACAATAAATTTTGAAGAACAAAAAAATCTCAATCGATCAAAAAATAATTAAAAAGTTCAAAAAATATAAAATACAATTGCCAGGAAAACTCTTTAGAAAACTATCAGTGCCGTAGACATTGAAACACACAAATTGACCTTGTAATTTGACGGGAAATTATATTTTTTACCATGCTAAGAGGGTCGATTATTTTATTCCCCAAACAAATGATTAATTCTTTTCAATCACTACAATGAGACTTTTAAGAGATTGCTTAAATTATTTTACATGAAGCAGGCTTGTTGGTAAATAAATTTGTTCTTCGCATTATTATTTAAGATTCTAATATTTGAAAATATAAAATAAAATTATTTTTTTAATATAAATATAATAATACATATATATATAGAAGTCATGACACTTTATCGAAAGGTCAAATTTGACTGTTCATTGGAAGAATTTTATTTTGTTTAATTTTGACTTTTCCCAATCCCTTGACTATTCATTTTTATTATTTATTTATTTTGTCTAACAGTGCAGGAATTGCTTTTCATAAATACAAGGCATTAAGACCAAAAGTTTACAATATGGGCAAATTCCAGCTACAAAATAAAGTGGACAAGCCCTTTATCGTATTGGGGCAATAAAGCTCATCACGAAATAGGCCCGATTATGGGCCAAAAATAACGAAGCAAAGCCCGTTTTATCCAAAATGGACCTGGATCCAGCCCCAATAAAAAACTAGCCTTCTTCTCAACGGTTGATTATTGCAATTTTTTTTTTGGGTCACTGTGTAATGATCACGTGTTGAAATAGAAGGAAAAAAAAATCACTCAAATAGGTAAAATAAAAATTTAAGCATTTAAATAAAACAAAAATCAAAGAATAAACATTGAAATTGTAATTTTTTTTCTTTTTTAATAATTACAAGTGGGACATCTTTTGTCATAAGTCAGTAAATGCTGTTAATGTCAGCAATTGATAAATTTTATAATATTGAAAAAGTAATTAATGTAAGTTACTTCATAAGAAGAAATAAATATAAAATAATAATAATAATAAAATAAAGAATTATTTTTTAAAAAAATTGAATTAAAGTGAAAATCTTTTTATTATTTTTTATGGATACGGATGTGATTTTTTTTTTACCGTATATATACTAATTATTTTTTGAGTATTATAAAATTTCGTTCGCAATTAACGATCTCAAATAACTAAATGCATTCGAATAGTAAAAAAAAATAAAAATCAATCCAAACAAGATTAACCTATATTTTTGGGTGTCAAGATGAAATCTTTCCGGAATGGGATCTTAAGTGGATCATTTTCTATCCATAAAACAGAAAAGATGTGTAACTGAGTGAAGAACAAGACATATAACGCTAACCGTATCGAAAGCTCAAAAATGAAGCGACGCTTGAATCGGGACACTGCTTGAGAGTGTTGAATTTACTTATAACGTAAACAGTCTAGAAGTTGTACTGAAGTAGATTTATTGGGAGTTGGATGCTTTTACACCTAAACTGCTTACGTTGTACTATTTGAACTTTTTCCTATAATTGCAACTCATACAGGGATAATTATTACTCTACAGAGCAGCTTGGCTATAAAATTCTGCTCCTTATCTATGGTGAAAATTGGAAATTTCTCTGAGATACACTATAGTTGTCTGATTCTGCAACTCATATAGCATGTTTGATTAGTTTTACTTGGATCCTAGGAAGCTCATGCAGATCGGTGGACGAATTTTTGCTAGAGCAAGGATTGATGAAGGAAGAATCCACAACCCATCACCACAGATCAAGCCAGAAGCCACAGCAGGAACCATCAAGCTTGCCTTTCTGCTGTTCAGCTTGTGCCAAACAAACACAGCCAAACTCCCAACACACATGTCAATTGCGAAGTAAGCTCCGACGAGGAAAGGCACCGCCATAGCCATTGGAAGAGGAACGTATTTTCCAATATTCTTGGGAGAAAGATCTCTCGACAAGTTGGCCAGAATGGCGAAGGCGAAAAACCCGTAACAAAGCTGCAAGCAGTGTTGGGGAAGGGCAGAGAAGCCTTCAACGCCAAGAATTGCCATGTTTCTGTAGATGATGGCATAGGGAGCTTTGTATTCGCCGTCAGGGTTCCCGACGTCGAAAGCCTTGTAGAAGAGTAAGAATGTGCCTGGAGCTACAATACAGCCTATGGCAGTCCCAATGGCTTGGCTAAGAAGCATTGATCTAGGAGAAGTGAGAGTGAGATGGCCGGTCTTGAAATCATGCATCAAATCAGAAGAAATGGACACAATGGATTTAATCAGGCCACAGCCCACAAGTCCAGCAACCACGCCGTCTTGTTTACCAGCCAAGGCTGCAAGTAAAAAGAGGGCCACCTTTCCATAATTGTAAGCCATGTTCATGTCAGTTAGACCAGCCCCGTAAGCATTGCAGAAGCTCAGAGAGGGAGCTAGAATGTAGGCAACAACTACATAGTACCACTTTAGCTGCGGAAACATGAGAGGGATGATAACAATGGAAATGATGGAGAAGACGATGTACCCTACACAAGCTACCCAAAGGGGGATCCCCTCTCTTAGGAAGATTTCATTTCTTTTAAGATCATCAAGAGCTTGGCCTTTGTCTTCTGAAACTGCAGGTGGAAAATGATGTTAATAAAGTTTCTCCGACGAACTCAACATTATCGAAATCGGGCATGTCAACATTAGCATCTCACTAGTTGCAGTACATCAAATGAAAGAATATAAAAGCGCCCCGAAAACACAAACAAATTAGAGAAGAAGAATTCCTAAAGTTTCTGGTCAGGGAAATGGTGGCCTCTAGAAAGGGAAAATTTGGCTATGCAATAAGAACAAATTAGCATGAACTTACTTGCTTTGAGGCTGTCGGCTTTCGCTCTGGCACGCATGCTAGTGGCAGTGAAATAGAGTATCTTGAGAAAATTGTAGAGGCCATCTCCTAGGATCAGAGCAATAGAAATGAAAACCTGCAACACGAATGAGATTCTTTGAGACTTATTTCAGCAAACATCACTAGCACGGAGCAATGCGAGGCGAAATCTACCGAAGAAATCGAACTAAAATTTGGCAATTGCAGACCTTGTAACCATTTAGACTCTTCATACTACTTTCTGGTAGAGTTGAAGGGAACCACTCTCCTTTAAGCCCACCGATCAACGGCCACATTACTCCCCAAGAAAGCACCGCTCCGAGAAGCAAAGATAAATTCACAAGATGGGAACAGATCATTCCCGCACCAATATAAGTCATGCTGAAATCGAAGTAAAATCTGCCAAATTCAATTCTCTAATTAATTATGATGTAAGACGACAAATCAATCAGAAGCAGGCCTACAAAATGTGAAGAAAATATGCCGAGCACTCACGAATTCTTCCAAGCTTTCAAGCCAAATGTAGGGAACTGAGAAAATCCACATAGTGCTCCACCAGAATAGAACCACTGAAAGAAAGCCCAAAGAAAGCTCAATGAAAAGAACTTCATGAACCCTTGCACCTGTTTCCTGCAAGATAAATGATTCCTTGTTTGAGTTGTTTCGTACTCAAATTCTATCTAGTGTTACATCAGCAAGAATCGGATCGCAACCCGTGCTTACTTAGCCGTCTTGTGTCCTTTAGGAGTGTGGAATCCATTGATGAGAACTGCAGTTGCAGTTCCACTTGGATAACTCAATTTGTAATCTATTATCATGATCTGGGGCAACAAAAAAGGCATTATCAGACCAGTTCAAGCTTCACAAATAACATAAATAGGAAGTCGAGATCATTGCCCATTAGGACTCACTTGAAGTTGAAAACTTATTGCATCTAGAACACTAACACTAATAAAACATAAACAATCAATCCATCAAGAAAAAAAAATTGAAGAAATCATATTACCTTTCGCAGAGGAACTAGAGCAAGTAGCCCAACAAAACAGCTTACAAAGAGGAAACCAGTCATCCAACCAAACCCAGGTTCCTTAGTACTCGCAGTATTCCCCTCTGTATCAACCCCAGCTTGCTCATATGTCCTCCTGTTCAAACCCAGTAGATAAGACCCAAAACCACCTGCAATTCAATAATCAAATCAAAATTTGGCAAACACGTTAAAAATTAGCAAAAACTGTTTTAAATTCAAAGAACGCATAGGATCAAAGTCTCAAACCTCCAACAGCAATGCTATAACAAGCAACAGCACAAGTTTGAACTATGGTGTTCTCTTGTCGAGTAAACGGATTGGTTGCAATTCCAGCCTTGGAAAGGACCTTAGTCCATGTTCTAAGGAACACAAATGCAAGAAGAGCAGCAGAGACATTGAGATTAGGGACTAGACCAGTAGTGAGATTCAGCTTCATGACTATAACACTGTAAATAATCCCAATTACTATGCTAGCAACAATTCCCCTAATTGTAATCTGTTTAGTCCATGGAGCAATTCTTTTTACATCCTCAGCCTCCTCTGCAACTTCTTCCAAATCCTCCCTCTCAACCCTCTCAATCTCTTCCATTTCTTCCCTGTTCATGTTCCCCATTTGGTAACAATCTTCTCCCTGATACAATCAACAATTTAAAACTCATCATCGTGAATCCAATTGAATGATTTAAACAAGCTCAGTACATGTCAAGAAAATCTGATCAAACTACAGAAAGAAAGAAAACATCATGAATGATCTTACCTTACAAGACTTCTTCTTTTTCTTGCTCCTCTTCTTCTTTAGACCACAGCTTTTAAAAACCTCCCAGAGAATCCAACTTTTTGGTCTGCTACTGACAAGTCTCCATCCATCAATGCAAATGGATACAAAAGCATAAAAATTTCCACAGAAAGACAACAAAACCTTCGAATCAACACATGGGCAAGATTCAATACCCCAACCTCTGAGTTGACTTCAAGAAAGCCTCCAAGAAAAAACAGACGACAGCAAACAAACTTGAGTTGGGAACTTCTTTATATGCAAGAAAAGCCCCAAAACACAACGATTGTGCCTTCCAATGCAATAATGAAGAGCATTAAATGCCATGACAAGAGGGAAAAAAATAAAAAACTGAAAGTTAGGAGTTTTTTTTAAATCAGTCTTACTTGGCTATAGACACTGCAAACATTCATATTTATACCAAATTTAAGCACCAACAGCTCACCCACCCACATTTCTAATATGTACTGCACAGACGTACAAAGCAAGACTATGTACAGATTTTTGTAGTACAACACTCATCAAAACTCCAACTATGGCCAATGGCTGCTATGAATTTATTTGAACACATGTCAGGACTATACAACACTCACAAAACTCCAACTATGGCTAATGGCTGCAATGAATTTATTTGAACACATGTCCGGACCATAAATTTGATCCTTCTCTCGTTGACTTATCGTCACTCCTTTTCACTTTCTCTTTATCCTCGTAGTACAGATAGAATGAGAAGAAAAGTGGGCAATCGTGGGCATGAAAGTGCACAAAGTGAAGAAAAGAAAACAAAAGAAAGGAAGGAATGGAACTGAAAACTGGCTTGAACTTAGATACTTCACTTGAAAGTGTCTTAACTTTGCAGTTATTACAGGTGTATGGCAAGTCAGGAGTTCAATTTGGTCCCTCTACTCTTAATTTTATCTTTCTTTGGTCCCTTCATTACCTTTTGTCTTAATATCGTTCTCTTTAGACTTTATTCTCTTCTCTAGTTTGCATTGCACATATAATTATTTGTTTAGTCAACTGTGTTTTTTGGTTTTTTTATAATATGATAATCTAGTGGTTAGACGTCTCAATTCTAGCTTATGTAATCCAGATTAAAAATTAAACTCATGCCCATACAATATAAAACATGTTGATAAATCGTTGGAGATTTCTTTAGTCAGCTATCATGAAAGACAAAAAATATTTCTTTAAAAAAGTATATATATATATAAAAAAAAACAAAAAAACAAAAAAACATGTTCACGCAAAACATATTGATAAGTACTTTTATTTATTATAAATATATATTTTTTAATTCTCTTACTTTTATATCATCTTTCCATTTTTTATTGTATACTTTTTTTTCTCTAAAACTACGATTACTCATGGTAAGTGTGATAATAGAAAAATAATCGAATGACTATATAAAGAATTTGTCATGTATTTTATGTATTTTTAGGGCAATTGTTAAGAGTTATTTAATGATAATTAATAATTCACGGGTGTTACTTTAATTCCTTTCGGGGCGTGTTCTCTTGTGACATAATTTGGAAAATATAAAAGGAATTAACAGTTAAGGGGTGATATTAAAATATAAAATAGTACAAGGATCAAATTAATAAACAATTGATAGTATAAGGACCAAATAAGACCACTAGCCGGGCGTGTGGCCTAAACATGTCTTAGCCAATTAAACAGAAGACAGGCTGGTTCTGAGGCCTATAACACTTAGATTCCAAAAAGAACTGATAGATGTAAGAGAGAGAGAGAAATCAAGCCAAGTGGATGGTGTGTGGGCCCAAGAAAATGGGTGGATTTGATCCAATTGTATCCGATGAATGCTGATCTGATCTAACCTTAGGTGGACAAACGTTTTTGACCGTTCAATGTCAATGTCTTGGATGATGTGATAAGAAGCATTATTTTAATTTTAAATAAATTATAAAATAATCCCTCTAGTTTTAAAATACGATTTATATAGTTTCTTTGATTTTAAATTAATTAATTAGTCCCTTATACGGTGTTATTTATGTTTAATTTAATATTATTTTATTTTAAAATATATCTTATTTTATTATTGATGTTTCTATATTATTTACTTTTTTTTCTTTTTTTAAAAAAACAAAAACGAAAAAAAAATTAAAAAAACGAAATGAACAAAAGTGAGTGATTAATTAGTTTCTGAAAATAAAGGGATTAAATAATTATTTTTGCAAAACTAAAGGAACTTCTTTTTAATTTACTATTTTACTTTTTTATAAATTTGTTGCGTGCAAACTATACCTATAAAAAGCATATTTTGGAGTGACATTATTCTTTTCATGGCACATGGAATTTGCTTAGACTTGAGGCTTAGCATTTATACCTATAATTTGGGAAATCACTAGTATTTTATTAGAGTAGGTCAACCAAAATTATTTGATTGGTTGTTAGAATAAATCATACAAGACTGTATGATGCGATAGAAAAAATTAATTTCATAAAAGAAAAGATCCATATATTCCGTCGTCATCAAAACAATTGAAGATAGAAATTATTACGATTTATTTTTTTAATTAGAAAAAAATAAATCATTTCTTTTACAGCATATTTTTTCTAATTGATTTTATTGTTTTCTATAATGAGAATTTTTTTTTTTTTTGGACTTAGGATATAATAATTTCTTACTTTTTTTTCAAAAAAAAAAAAAAGGGAATCGTCATGTAAGTGACTATTATAAAAAAATTACTATTATTTATCTCTTGAATGGGGATTGAGAGAATGGGAAATTAATCAAATTATCATCTAATTAATTTTTTGAAATTGAAAAACCATTTTACCTAAGAATCTCACGATAGCCTTTGGTTCCTTGCACCAAAAAATCATCAAAATGATTCCAAAACAAACACCACAGCCACCCTACTCTAAATAAACTTTTGCTAAGAGGTCTAGGAAATCAGAATCTCCATTCAAATCACTTTGTATGGAAATGAATGTCTTATTTTAAGTGGTTAATAGATTAGCAAATTATACTTGTGGTTTTAATAATTAAAAAAAATAAAAAAAGATTGATAAGAAAAAAATATTTTATAGAATAAAAAAAGATTAAATTAGTCATGGTTAATACTAATTAAAAGGGGTAAATAATTAACTTTTGAAACTAAAAGAACAAATTAATTTATTTCTTGAAAAGAGAGGGACTGATTTATAATTTACTCATAAATCTAGAGTAAATCATTCTTTATTTTTTGGGTTTTGACTATGATTGAATTTAGTATTTCTTGATCGGAATGCTTATAGCTTACTCTCGTAATTCTTGTTGATTGTTGTCTTATTAAAACGTATACTATTTCTTTATAAACCTCAGTTATACCTTTTAACAATTCTAATTTTTTAGAGAAAAAACCAGCATTATAGAGGTTTATAGAAAAAACAAAGAAATCTTAAGAATATAAAAATTAGTACGAGTCAAGAACCTATGCCACAAAATTCCAAACACGAAGAATGAGACCTTTGCTAAAAGAATAGCCATCCATTTAGAGTCAAGATTAGACTACAGAAAGTTCCACTTGAGATTCTTTATGTCGGAAAGAATGTTTTTTTTTTTCCACCAAAATAAGATTTTTTTTTTCGAAATAAAAGCTACATGTTTTAACTCTTTTTAATATATATAATTTTATAATTGAAAGATTATTGTAACGTCCGTCAATCGAGACACCTTACCAATCGGGTCAATACTAAAATTCATATCCTTTTAATTTTTTAAAAAATTAAATTTCTAATTTAATCTTATTTATCTTTAAACATGTCAATTACTTTTAAGTGCATGAATTAAAAATAATAAAAGACCATTAATTTTTTTTTTTATGGTCACTAAGTGGCTTTCTTTTATAATCACTTTCTTTTCTTTTATGATCACTAACCTTCTTCTTTTATGATCACTTTCTTTTCTTTCATGATCATTCGTGTCTCCTCTTTAATTTTAATATATGTTTCAAAATTTTTGTTCTTTTTTCATAGCCACCGATATTTCCTTTAAAAGCTAGTAAAACCTATTATTATTTTATTAATTATTATTACTATTTTAATCATTTAATTCCTAATAGTTTAGGCTAAGATTATAAGATTAATTCCTAAATATAAAAATACTATCTATAATATATATATATATATATATATATATATATATATATATCCAAAAACTTTATACCTAATCATCACATCATCTAAACACATAAAAAAAATATTAAATTACATATACAAATAAAGCACATTTACACATATATACACATAATATATTATCATGTAAATTTTTTAGATATTAAATTATACATTAATAAAAAATTTATCAAAAAATTAAATTATTTACTACTAGACCAACAACAACATGTCGGTAAAAAATGTTTCTTTTTAACTAGTTAATTGATGGGATAGATAATGGTAGTTTTAACTGTGAGCTATGGTGATGCATATTTTTATTAACGGTCAACCTCGATATTAATAAAAAAATTAAACTTCCTTTTCCGCACACTTTTTGTTCCAAATAAAGTTAAAGAAATGTTTAACTCGAATTCTAAGTATCTAGTTTCTTATAATAGAAAGAATTCGAAATAATATATATTTTTTATTTAATTATAAAAAATATTTTTCGATCAGTTTTATCTCAATCAAGATTCATTGAAAATTTTGAACAGAACATTCTTGACATAAGAAAGAATTTAATATTTTTTTATAATAACTTCAATATTTTTGATACATTTTTTTAATACGTAGAAAAGCATATATTTATATGAAATGTAAAAAACTTTACCTTGATATAAATTGACATATATGGATAAATTATTTGCTACTTG